TAGGTCATCCATATCACTTCACTTACACACTGTTCAGAGACGGTGGTGTTGTGACAGTATCGAACAGATGCCGCTCACACTAATGAAGACGGTATTGTTCTATTATGGCTTCGCCACTTGAGGCCTTCGGTAGAAGCGTAGTTTTTGTTATTGAGGAGTGTATGATTATCTGATAGCCTAAATCAAGTGGATTTCGGAGGTATATTTCAATTCTCGTATTGCTTATTCTTAACGCCGCACAGCCAAAATGAGAGTTTGTTCCACATTTGAAGATTCCTCGCCTGACAAAAGTTTTTCATAACAAAATTTCAACCACTACATAGACTAAATCTTTCTGAATCGGAAAAATTGTTTGTTCTTTGGAAAGAACTACTATACACACACCGTAGCCGACTAGAAGTGCTCACTGAGTGTGTAACCTAATATTCTTTCGGTCGTTGCAAAGCTCGAAGAAGTCTTTCTGGAAGCCAAATATACCACTATGATTGGAAAGATTTTCTTTATCTAACGAAAAAACAATTCATTACAACAAAACTTTTATCCAGTGGAAATCTCCGAATGAGAAACAAAATCTTAGTTTGACTGGTACGGCGCCAAAAATAAGCTATTTGAGAAATCAAGCATACCATTGAAATTCACTTCATTTGAGCTATCGAAAAATACAGAAACGTTTTGTAAAAGCAAAAAGTACGTTTTCACCTAAGGCCTTAAGTGACGCCGGTATAATGTAACAGTGTCATGAGGACATATAAATATCAGATGTTCCTGCATCGAGGCGGATAATACCGAGATTTCTTTGCAGGAAACGGGAGGTTCGTCTGCTGGAAAAATCATCCAAGAAAAGCGAGCAGAATAGAGGAAGATTTGAAAAAAGTACTAAGAAGAAATAAAAATAGAAGAAGTCAAGATGCTTGAGAAAGGTGATCAGCCATCTGCCGGAAGCCAATCAAGCGTCGTTGCAGTCAAAATATACGAAACTTCATCTCAGCTTTAATGCGTAACTAAGACTGGAACACGAAAGTATTGGCATCCTAAGTCTGTGCATCAAGAACGAAAGCACAATCAACGTCATATCATCGTTGATTCTTCTATTAGAAATTTATGATTATTGGAGAAACTGAGTTATCATCTTCGTGTTATACTGTTCAATTTCTGTGTGGCAAGCATTTTGAAACAGGATTTTTCCGTACTCAAATGGTGATTGTCTCATGAAATTTGTTGCAAGGAAACAACATTTCTTGCAGGTAGAACTTTAAAAATCTCAATAGTATCCAAATTTCAAAAACCATTTATTGGAAGCTGTAAGTGCATCTATTCCAAACAAATGAAACAGCCAGCGGTCGAAGGAAACTTTATGTATTTACACTTTGAAAGCTGAACAATTTTCTACTTCGATTTTATGTGTTATTTAGTAAAAATTTCCTTTATTACCACTCATCTTTACAATCCTAAACGCAAAAAGTCGAATTTGCAATCAAATCGCATATGATTGAAACCCGTAGTCGAAAAACTTTCAATCGGCAAAAGTACAACTTCGGAGCCGAATTCTTATGTTTCAGAATGAATCAGCGTCTCGTTTTCATCATTCATGACCGATATTGAGAAGGGTTATAGAAATATTTGCTCAAACGAAGAAGGCTTGAAGTGAAGAAAATTTGTTGTCATTCTATTTATAGCTCAAATTATGAGAGTTTCCCTTATTTTGTTTGATGTCGCGATAGCAGCAGAATAATAGAAGGAACTTTCTGCCATCTAACATCGTTGACTTCATGCCACAGCTCACGGCAATTTTTCGTCGAGTTAGGCGACGTTAGGTTGTTCAGATTTTGGAGTATTTTTTATACTATCAAAATAAATCTTATCTTTTGGGTCGTTTATTGTTTAATGTTCATAATTTTTATCAGACATTTTTTGGCTATTAGTTGGAGGTAATTTTTCGAACAGCAAATATCGAAGTTTCTCTTCACTTTTCACGTGAGGGTCTCAATTACTTTGTTAGGGAGGCACCAAACGTCTTGCACCTCGTATACTGTATTGTTTTACTTGATTTGACCATTGTACACCTATTCCCTTAACAATTTACTGCTCTCATGAGACACTGTTTGGAAGAAAAGTCACATATGTGTGTTGCTGATCGAAGCACCCATAGCGAAATCCTTTTCACGAGACGGTGGCTACTGCCGAAATGAAGTGCGAACCAAACGGACCTGATACCAAAGCTCGAACCACTCTGTTCACTACGCCTTGCCACATATCTCTCGACCAATTTGCCATAATGATGTTTGTGGTCTGCAGAGAGATTTTAATTCCTCTCTGAACAAGATTGCATCGAAAAGACATAAAGTTCAAACCGTGAGAGTTCCTGAAATTGACAAATGTTCGTTGGGAATCGACAGTACATGCATTCCATTGTTCAGCCTACATCGCATATTGCATATTGCAGTCACTGTATTGCCAAAGATTATGCATTTTGGCTTCATCATGTTCATAACTGCAAATAGCTTCGTTATGGAAACTTTATTCTTCTGCGGAAATCGCATAGCTACAAGAAGTAGGTCTCGAAGATGATTTTTGTCTTCTACTAATAAGCTTTGATGCGTGATTGCACTTAAGGAATAAATCGGTTAATTCAACTGTGAGAATTCCTTTCCAAAGATACACTGCTTTTCGATTTGAGCAAAAATTGAAAGTTCTTTGTCCGTACTACTGACACTTATGAACTTTTTGAGTGCAACCAAATGACAATAGTGGAATTAATTTGAAGATTCCAGTATTTTTAAGTTTACTACAAAGTCAGGCAATCCTAAAATACCCAGTAATGTAGAGTGATATGCAAAACTTCCGCGTCAGCGACTAGAACCCGCACCTCACTCTTTCCGGGAGCGTGCTCTATCCGTTACACTAATGACGCCCATTTTGCGCAACACTCTTTCCACAGCGACTAGCACATCTACCTGTCAGCCGCCAGCCGTAAAAAAAGTTTGCACATCACGGTATATATACATCATCTACACCGTTAGCGGTTAATAAAACATCCATTTGATCTAAATACTTTTCACGTGATTGAAATTCAGATACTATCCAGTTCGCAAATCGTCCTCGAAAGGCATTTGTGGATTTTCAATGCTTACAACCGTCAGCTAGTGGTTAGCGGTATGTTATCGACTAGATCAATTAGCCCAACGCTAGAGTAGAAGTAGTGAAGTATTTTAAGCATCATTTTGGTCAGTACGAGCATTTGCTGATTTCACACTTTGAATCTGTCGAATGTGTGGTAAACTGATTACTCATAATCTGCTGTGCAGGCATAGCATGATTAACTGCGACGTCTTTGCACTCCAGTGGTGTGTAGTTGATGGTGACGTTCAGCTGATTCAAAATGGACGTGATTATGAAATCCGCAAGGCCTGCGGCACGGCCCTGTTGCTCGAGGACATCGAACACCTTAAGAAGCAGAGTTTTCGCTAGCTCATACATTTCATATGAAGGTCCTCAAAGAAAATATATGAATTCATAGGAACTGTATTGAAAATCAAAATGTCGGCAAATCTCTTAACTGAAGCTCTCATTCATTGCATCCAGAAAAAATGTAAACTCACTGCTTGCATTATAGTACGCATCACAAATCCTCTGGCCACGTCTGCACTTGTTGATATATTAGCAACTTGAGCAATTGCACCTGGCGCAGAAGTGAAAGCCATCGCCACCGGCAAAGAGAAGCCCGAAACATTGAAAGTCCTTGAGCTCATTGATGCTAAATTTCACGACTTTTTGTCGAGTAAATGAAAGGCTACATAATTCTAGCTGCCTCCAAATGTACAAAGGAACGTCAGGATGATTGTTGATTGAGAAACAGCTGAGTGAATGATCAATATATGAGTAGTAGTGTTTGAATAAGAATAATGGTTTAATGCTCATAGTGCTGTTGTTTTATGTTTGAAATTTTCACTTCACCACTGCTCAATCGCGAGCCACACCGATTTTTTAGAATGTGATTCTTTATGCTAATTAATAACAAAAAAGAGCAGGGATATTAACGCTATTGAAAACTCTAAGTTTTTGCCCGAAATTGAAAATCTCTGCATGAAAAACAACTATGAAACTTGAAGAACAAATTTCCAATTAGTACCTGGTCCACCTGGAAGAGTTCCACATCCCAACACTGCAGTGATGATGAACAGAGGCATCACAAATGAGCTTGCGGAAACTTTCGCCATACCAGCCAGATTGGTCATCTTTGACAGAGATTACTAAAAATAAATTTAGCATATCTTCCAGCCACAAGAATATTTTTTATTCTGACGCTTTTCACGGGTGGTATGATGTTGCCAAGGAGCGCACGTGACACAGTGGTTAAATGTTCTCTGTGTCGCATACAAGGTCGATAGTTTGATCTCACGCTCATGGCTCACCAAGCCATCCATCCCTCGAGAGTCTGTGCGTTGATACCAAAGGTTGCAGACTTGTCTGGAAGGATAAGCAGCACTGACTCGATATAGCGGTAGGCACCATGAGTGATTCTAATGATCGAATATGCATTCAGTCACCTCGGCTGAGGTTAGAAACTGAAGACGAATGTGTATCACACCCTTGAGGGCTTAATCAGAGCAAAGAGCCTTATCCTTTAGCTCAGTGGTGTTACAAATATATCCAATGATGTTAAGTGATGCGCAAAACTTCGACGTTAAACATGAATCGAAGCCGCAATTCAGCATTTCTCGGGAGGGGCTGACCAATTGCTCTACCTATGCCTGTTTTGCCACCACTCTCTCTACGCTGCAGCTCATCAATCTGTCAGCAACCAACCGTCAACGCTTTGGCCTGATATCGGCACTGATCCCAACTACAGTACAGATTTTGAATATATGTGATCAACAAAAATTCTTTCTATTTAACCGCTTTTCGCGGGTGGTATGATGTTACAAATATACCCAATGACCACTGACGGTTGCTCTGACAGATTAAAGAGTTGTAGCGTAGAAAGAGTGGAGAAGAAATAGACGTCGATAGTGCAATTGGTTAGCACGTTTCCCCGGAAAAGGTAAGATACGGATTCAATTCCTGTCTGACGCCAATGTTCTGCACATCACTCAGCATCATTGGGTATAAGGATGACTTGCCCACAGAACCGATAAGGGATAAGATTTTTCGTTTTGCGTTGGGTAACTGTGAAATTAGCGATGTAGTCTACGCAATACTTTGCCTGCGACGCGAGCCGTGAATAACTAGGAGGTTTTCTGACATATTTAAGAGCTACGTATTCCTGAACTGATCGATTCAAAGAGGGATTTTTGAAATCGTCTTCTTGGTTACGATACGGTGAGCAAATGAGAAATGAGGTATGCTAAATGTTAGACGAGAACAATGCACGTGATACATGGCATCGACTGTTTTTAAAACCTCGCAATAAACATTCATTCTAATTTTCAAGAGTGTTCAAAGCCTTACCCGAGGTTGGTACGCCAGGGTCATACACCGGTGTTTCGGAGGTCTTGCCCGCCTCATCAGTGGTCGACGCCCCACATTAAGCCGTGCATTGTAGCAAGGAGAGAGACGTATGTGGTGAAGGCACAGTGTACAATGACACTGTGTCATCCCCACTTCTCAGTCGATGGATCTCGGCTATTGGAACAAAACCTCCCTCCTTGCTACAATGCAGAGCTTAATGTGGGGCTTAGGTCACTGACGAGGAGTTCTAGACCTCCGAAACAGCGGTGTATGACACTGGCGTACCAACCTCGGGTTAAACATTAAACATTCTTAAAAATTAGATTGAATGCACGTGATAGTAATTACTCTTCGAATACGCTGATTTCTCTGCCTGGTAGGCTAAATTTTGTTCCGCCCATTTTATTTTTATCGCTACAGTCTTGGATTACAGCTTTCACATAGATATGAAATTCCTGAACAAAACGGAATTGTTAAAAATGCACTTATGAGAAGAAGTAAAAAGGTATCAGAGTTTTCGATAGTTAACATCACTGGCAGCGATCAGTCTAGCGATTTTACGGTCTTTTAGTTCCTCTTACTCTTTTTTTTATATACTGCGGCTACGAGATTTTCTTAATCGATAGCAAATCGTTTTTATAGTCCAAAAATCATGTGCAGGATTTCACTACAGACTTCAACACAATGCCATGAAAAACAACTAGGTCAGAGCGCGAAGTGATATCAGATAGCACTATATCCTGCTGTTTGCTGATAGTGAAAACCCAGGAAAATGAAAGAAGAAACTTGTGCTCTGAAGAGGCGACCTCAGCGACACTGAGCAGCAGTTCTTTGCTACTTTTTGACGTTTCAAAATTTTAATTAAGGAATTGTTTATAGCGCGCCGTTCTCATATCCCATGCTTTCGCTGGCGTGATGGGAAAACAAAATTTTTTATTAAACACCTCCATACAGTGGAGCAATTATTCAATTCGACTAATAGATGTATTGAATTTACCGTATGTTGTTCAATAAACTTATGAAAAAAGCATTGTCAAAGTTCTGATCGTTCTTGCACTCCTTTCGTTGACGTTTTCCTATACATAAGTGTTTGTGTGGTGGATATATTTCAGAACTAATGAGAGATGAGAGAAAAAGTACTGCAAGAAACATTTATTTGTAAGTAGTTTGAAATTGTTCTACATTGATGAGTGTTCATCAGTTGCTCATCGCTTTTCTCCGGTCAATAATATTGAACTCGTTCAACAGCTCGCACTTATGGTGGATACTTAGTCCAGAAGACTTCAAAAGCTTTTGTGATACAACAAGGAGAACATATTCATGAACCCCTTTTCCAGAATTTTTCTTTAACAATTACAACCTGATGACAATAATGACTCTTTTTTTTCGCTTATTTTCGAGTCCAGGTTCTTCGTAAAGTCATTACCAGTGGAAGATTCTCAGCGCAAACTCAACTCAGAAACAAAAGCGCATATTGCACCAGATACCGAGCCGATACATTCGCAAAGCATTCCAAAATCCATTAGCGACAAAGGTGAGAGGGAAATCGGTAGTATTGTTAGCCATGTGGGTGCTATATCAGCAGAAAACAGCTTCGGAATGTTGCTCTCTGTGATAACTCTTTAAGAAGGAATATAAAACCACCAGGATTTGAGTTCAGAAAAGGCCAAAAGGGCAAAGACAGCTAGATTACAACAATTACTTATCCGTCAGCTTGGGATAGTTCATCAACTTGTGTCGTTCTATGCATACTTATCAAAACACATAAGCACACCTCTGGTGATGATCATGTGGCTTAGGACTTCATAATACTAAGGCTGTTGCGATTTATGACAGCATTTCGCCCTAACACCAGAATTCCTATAAATTACCAAAATAATCTCCAGCCAAATCGCACATGTGTAAAGTGGCCATTTTAAGTCACCGCACTCCAAATGGACGTTTCGAATGGCTCAGCAGCACAAGCTATTCCTCAACTGTTGGGAGTATATGATGCGCATAGATATATTTGGCTCGACAAAACACCAACTCATCTGAAGGAATGTTCAAGTTTAAGTGGCGCGGTGAATATTCTGCGCATATAGGAGAGTGACAACGGGCCAGCGATCGGTACCAAGACTTGCATTCGCCATCATGCTAACTTGGAAGTCCCAGTTATCAGTCGTGGCTCAATGAGTTCATTCATGGATAGCTGTTTAGTTATGTGCTCTATATAGGAGGAAATGGGCAATGTACTGAACTGCTGATGAGTGGTCAGAATATGCTGATTTTACACGGAGAGACCTAATGGTGGAAATGCAGAATACATAAGTCCAGTTATTATTTACTGGCTCTCTTTCATGCTCTACGGTAATGTAGGCGAAAAGAGAAGACCACTATGATACGCATAAAAGAACCCCTAGATGGAGAGCCGAAATGTGGGACACGTACTCTTTTGAGTGCGTATAGAACAAAAAGGCAGCGGTGAGAACTTTGAGGTGAAGTGAGACTCAAAAACTTCGACGCAAAAATCTCTGAGGCCAGCTGGGTGCAATAAAAAAGGTACCATAATGCTTGTACCAGCAGCAAAAGCAATGAATGTAGGTGCGCTGGCAGTAAGTGAATATTTCACTCAAGAGAGCGCGTATCATTCTTCGATGCCACATCTATGATAGAGGGCGAGTGTCTGAGAAAAGACACTGCTGATGGCAAAACCGCCTAAACACACGTATGTCGAAATATTGCCGAGAACGAATATAGTGTAACAAACATTGAAAGACGGCTAAAAGCAATCTCAAAAGCTATATTTTAAGCCTTCTTTTTCAACTGTTTATACGGATCTCGCTGAAAACAATAACAATCTGAGAATCTAACAACATTTTTTAAGCCTTTTATGAAGTCGGGTATGGCAAGCATTACAGTGCTGGCAATAGCACTGTATAAATTCCATATCAGACCTCGTAAAGAGGCTCAAAAATGTTATCAGAATACAGACTTTATATTAGGTTGGTGAGTAAGCTTCCTCCTTTTTTTTGTGGTTCTTTATTTTTAACAAATTTATTTCTTGCTCTTCTTTTCTGTGCTTCATGCCACTCTCCCGAGATTTGAAATATGTAAGCCATTTCATTTTTTGTTACTGTCTATAATTGATGACTTGCTTATCTTGTTTTTTTTCTGCCAGACGAAAACAAATGGAGGAACTTCCCTTTCCTTGTGCACCAATTTTTCATAAGAATTTCAGTGATCATTTAAATTCATAAATCTGGAGGGAACGCTTTATGTGCTCGTTTCTTGAAGAAACTTTTTACAGAGGTTTAGCATTGAACAAAAAATTGAGTCGCACACGCATCGCGCGCATTTATATTCATCACGTTTATATTTCGCTGAACAATGTCCTTTCCTTGAACTGCTAGTGATCGCTCAAAAGTGTAAATTGCGGAAAATTCAAAACTATGTCTGCTTTCTAGATAAACATTTTTAACAGCGCTGTAGCAAAAATAAAAGCTCTGTGTTCATGCACGAGTATTTTTCGTAGAACAGAGCTGTTCCCATGGATTATGAGTAACCACTCGATACCGTGACTGCTGACGATATCAACGCTTTGCTTATTACCAAGACCGACTATCTATTGGGTTGGAGCGAAACTCCTGGGGCACTTATAGGAATTTGAAAATTTATGCATAAATTCCAAACAAAAACGATAACAACTTTTCTTCAAAATTAAGGTCATCGTTTTCTACGACTTTCTGCCATCGGTCCGCCAAGCTTCGGATCTGGTCGAATCTGGTTCCCAAGCATTTGACGACGGTTCACCTTCCGAGGCAAGAACCAAATTTCGTTGTTCAACTCTGTTCGACTTCCTAAGGCTTGTCTTTGAGGTCAAGATCTCCGGCATCAAAGCGTTGAAACCAGCGTCCAGCAGCAGATTTGCTTGTTGTGCCTTTCCTTCAAACCTCGTTGATTCCATCGATTGCAACTCCCTGTGAAAGGCCCTTTCTCCAACGATGACGTAAGAAAACACGAACTTCGACTCTATCGTTGGATATGGTGGAGACTTGTAATAAAGTGAAAATAAATGCGAGTAATATCTAGAGCATCAGTGGGAAAATCCCACATAAGAAATTGTAATATTTCCATGATATGCATGAGATTTTGAATTCTATGTTATCTCGTGCTTATTTGAGTGCTCGAAACTTTCTTTCCAATAGTAATATTAACATCGGTATGCTTCAGTAATTCCTAATTTCGTTCTTAAGTCAGGCACGACGTATTAAAATAATCTATCTTTATTCAAACAGCTGAGTTTTGGCAGTCTCGCCTTGCTCAGAGCCCGGAAAGATCAAGTTGTCTACAGTCCAATCAAAAAGTCAAACCCCTCCATAGCGCCTTTAGAAAGAAATCACCAAACCCACATTCCAATCGCATCGAGCACAAAATCAACTTTCAACATACACGCCGTTTTTTATATGTCCTCCACTGAATAGCTCAAGTGATAGGTCAACGGCGGGAAATCACATAAGCTCGTAATACACCGTAACCATCAAACACGGCATACAATCGTTTATTTACGGATACGAGGCATTCTTACTGCAGTTTATAGTTGGGATTGGTCGTAACTATCCAAAACGCTTCTAGAATCTTTGCCA